CTTGTACACCAGCTAAGTCCCAAGCTCCCTCCACTAGTCCCTTCCCCTGACTCTACTGCCAGCTGAAAAAAAACCTCTTACTTGCACCTTTTGCTCTGGCTTGCCCACGCTGTGGGTCTCCCCTACATAAGACCCCATCATAGCTGAAACTGAGGAAGAACCTCACCTCAGCTTGCTGGGAAGCTTTTTGTTGATTGCCTGTCCAAAAAGGGGCTGAAGAATGATGTATCCTCCCCCATGGCACCAAAAGCATTTAACGTAGCAACTGACTAATGGTTTCAGAAGCCATTTAGTATCTTATTATGGTATGATTTCCTTATGAGTGGCTGCAAGTTCAGCTCTAGAGGACTCAAACACCCCAAAGCATTTGTGCAGCCCCTGCTTTTATTTCAATGGAAGCACTGGAGACAGTGTTTTCAGTGGTCTCCCTCTACCTACAGCCTGCCCAGGACTGGGATGCTTGGAATTAGTGATCGGGACCCACATCTCCCATGAAAGTCAGCCTGCCTGTAGCCTAAAGCAGAATAAAGCCCCAGGACAAAACCTGGAGCTGAAGTCCTCCCTCCCATGCAAGTGCTTCAGCCTGCAGTTAGAAACACAATCACATTTTGAGTACCAAAGATCTTTCAAGCTGTGCTATCTTGCAGTGCTACAGGGTCGACAAAACACCATGGTGGCGAAGAGCAGAAGATGGATATCCACGAGGTGGTGCCAGACTGATTTGAAGGGAGCCCATGGGTGATAGAACAGGGCCAGGGGTGTATGGTCCTCACCTTTTGATTACTCATCGGCCCAAATATTTCCTCTTTTTTTTCCCTGGAGCTCATCCATATGATGTCGGCTTCCCACATGCAGCCACTCGTGTTGCTCTAGGCATTTGAGAGTCAAATTAACCCACTTAATGAAAAAAATCATGTTTGAAGAGCTAGGGAAGAGAGGAGTTGCTATGATGGGACCTACGTCCCTGGCCAGGGCACCCAGCAGTCACACACACAAGAAGCTGCAAAGGCCAGGCATGAGGCTGCCATGAGAGGCAAAGGGACATTGGCCAGGCAGGAGATGCATCCCACTGCTCATGCAGAGCCACTGCTGACCATGCAGCACCTCTGGTCTCAGCAGCCACACCAGTGCTGATGTTGCCAAAGGACGCAAAAACAAACCATGTGGTAATTCTTCCCACAAATGCTCTTCCAGTCAGGGATGTAAAGCTCCATTGTGGGCTATTAAATATGAAGTCCCTGAACCACAAATCCTGCCCCAAATGGAAGTTCTAGACTATTTATACACTCCTGTATAAGAGGTGCTGCAGACCTTTGGCTATCTCTACTGCTTTTTGAGTGTTTTCCAGTCCAGCTGTATCCTTCTGAGATGGGAAACGCAGAAATGCACTCAGTGAATAATGGATGAGCAGAGGCCCGTAATGATGTTCTCTCTTTTACGGGCTCCTCTTTTCCAAATGATTTTTAACATGCACCTCTCATTTGGAAGCTTTTGCACTATCTGGTAAAAACTAGCTCTTATTCTGGAGATGGAATAGCTTGGTGCACATTATAAGACTATAAAGAGAAGAGGATAGGGAAAACACATTTATCCCCATGCAATACTAGCTACCATTTTGTTATCACACAGTATCACAGATTTTTGTTTACCCTGAATCACTGATGGGCTTGTTACCACACAACCTGAATAGGTGGTGGAAGCTGTGATCTGGAGGGTTGGAGGGGCCAATGCCAGCAGCAGGGTGTTGCCCAGCCTCTGAGCTGCCTGAGAGCTCTTGTCCCCATCCCTGGGAATCTGCAGGCAGGACATTGAACAGATGTGGCTTGTCCCTTGCCCTCAGAGGGAGACGAGTGGGATTGTGCACCCAAGGTGACTCCATCCCCTCCACACAGAGCAAAAGCCTGTTGTGTGCAGCAGACGGAGGTGTGACATGCAGTAGGCTCAAAGGAAGAGCAAATTCTTGACACCTTGAGTACTTAAAAGCCAGTGTTCCCCTTTTGTTCTGCTTGTGACAGGCTGGAATAGAGAAACACCTCTTTTCCTACCCTGAAACTTTAGCAAGAGCAGCACATGGGATGCTCTTGAACACCCCTAGCAGGATTTGCAGTGCTGGTTGGGTTGTGGCATGACAAGCTGCTTGATAAAGGCTTTGCTCATCCTCACCACCATAACTGGTCCCACACACCATGCCACCGGGTTGAGGTCCCACTGCCCTGGGCCAAAATACCAAGGCTTGGTGCCACAAAGTTCCTTAGGGAGTATGAGATGGCCTTCAGGGGCCAAGCAGCTGATTTAACTCCTTGGAAGGCTTTGCACCAGGTGAATTGGTTTTGTGAGTTCTTAGGGACACTGCTTTGCCCTGCCTGGGCTAGGAGACATCCGTATTTTTCTGCTCAGCCTAATGCTTCAGGCATGATGAGAGAAGAGCAGCTCAAGGACCTATTAGCAACATGGCTGATGGCCAGGTGCAGATTGAAGTGCAGTATATAAAGAGCATCATGATGTGTTAGGACCTTCCATCTCTCCACTGCCATTTCTAAGGCCTGCAAGAGAAGGAGCTACTGCTGTCTCTGCAACATCACCCCACCAGCCTGCATGGGGATAGAGGCCAACGGACACCCCAGCTCAGCCTGCTCTGACCAACACAGAGGCCAACATGACAGGACTGTTCAAGGGTGTTTGAGCTTTTCTCCAGCCCATCTGGGGAAACACAGACCTTTCATCAGTCAAGTCCTCATGGAGCAGCCCTTGCCCACCATGCACCTCCTTCAGCCATCTGCAGACCCTGCTTCTCCATCGGTATGTTTCCTAGACTTAGAAATAGGACCAGTAAGTGCTGGGGAACCAGTGCCAGGAGTGTTTGAAGGGGCTTTCCTCTCTGCATACCAACACTGAAAGGTCCCCACCAGCTTTAGCCCTACATGATGGCAGGAAGCTTGGGTTTCCAGAGGGAGAGCAAAGGGAACAGAGACAACCGGAATCATTAGCTGAGAAATCCTTGGGAAGAGCCAATATTGAATTGCACCTTACAAAAAGCTGCAACAGTTTCAAATGGATCCTCTCACTGGATGTGGCTTTTGAAATCCACAGCAACATCCAGACCCAGGAACAACAGCCCCAGGACTGGGTGGAAGGCAGCCCTACCCTGGTGACCTGATCCCAGCTCTAGGAAGGACACATAGCACCATATGGCCCATCCAGAGGCTCCCTCCCAGCCCAGACAGCATCCCACAGGGCAAAACAGGGGCCTAGGCAACCAGGGAGGAACAGAAAGCAAGATCCTTTATTGTACACAGTACAGAATGTAATGCAGCTTTGCAGGAGATACATAGCCCTGCTCAAGTAAAGGTTATTTCAAATCAGTCCTCAGATTAACTCCTTCTGCACCACAGATCTGCCACACTGAGCAAATGGTTAAAACTTTGCCCCAAGGTGGGGTTCCTGCAACTGACTGCTCCCCAAGGGTACAGGCCACTGCAGCCACAATGGGGAGAGCAACTGAGTCTACCCAGAGTTAATCTTCATACTTCCCCCAAAAGAATGAATCAGTAAAGAAAAAAAAACAAAACAAAAAAAAAAAAAAAAAAAAAACCAAACCACAAACAAAAAAACCACCCAAAAAAAAAAACCACCCAAAAACAAAAAATCAAACCCAAAAAAACCAAAACCAACCCAAAAAATCCAACCAAAGCTAACTAAGGAAGAGAAAAAAAAAATTCCTATACAGCATTTACAACAAAAACATGTAGCCAGTGGAGGGGACAGGCAGGTATGGATATGAGTGGTGGAGTGTTAGGAGGCGCAGCAGGGAGGGGGGAGCTGGAGGGACATGGGTTACCCAGGAAGGGGATGGGGGACCCCAATGTCCCCACCTGCCACAGGCTTATAGCCCAGCTTCAAGGCCATGCTGAGCAGGGAGGGGAGCGCAGCTGAGCCGGCACTGGGG